ATTTGTTTTCTTTATAATCTACGCATTAAATACTACTTAGTACTCAGATAATACCTTATTTTACAACAAGCACTTAGATAAGGAATAAATTATTAAGATAAAAAAGAACAGTAGAAATTACAGACAGGGCAATTAAGATCTCTAAGAAGGGTTTAAAAGTAATATTGTATAGTATTGTATAACACTATAGCAAAGTACATAGTAAAGTAGCCAGCTTTGTATAAGAAATCCAAGAATCAAGAGTTTATATTAAAAGTGCGTTAAAAGGAACAACCTTCCTTCTGTTCCTAATGTACTAATCATCAAAAAGAAAAGTTATTATTGATTATCATTCCTGTTTTCCACTATCCTCTTTTTAAAAGTAAATTATGGCATTACAGTCCCAAGTTTCTGCTAATGAATAATCATGTCAGTTGTCACTCAATTATCACTTTCAACATTTAATCTAAATTATGTACAGCACCTTGGGTTTTTTTTTTCCCTTTCTTTGAAGTTCCTCATTGAATTTAAAAGTCAAATTTTTTTTTTTTTTTCAAGAAAAGTAAGTTGATGGAAGATGGAGGCTGAGATTAAATCAGGGGGAATCAATGATCAAGGATACTTGGAATTCTTATGAATACAAATAGCCTATCAAGGTTAATGAGGTTCAACTCAAGTTTAGAAGAAGAAAAAAAACGTACTTAGTATTTTCTATGCATATACAGATTTAAGGTTTTAGGTATAATTTTAAAGGTAAATTATGCAAACCCAAATGCACCTTTCATTCCGGTTTTTACAAGGTGTTTTCACTGTTTTTCTCCTGTGTGAAACAACTGCTTAAAATGTGTACTCTGGATCAACAAAAACTGACGCCATCAATAAGAAAGAGCAAAGGTCCTCTGGAATACTGACAACTCTTCCAGAAATTAACAGACTTTTATTAATTTATTTTTTAAATGTTTATTTATTTTTGACAGAGAGAGAGAGAGAGAGAGCAGGGAAAGGGCAGAGAAAGAGAGGGGGACACAGAATCTGAAGCAGGCTCCAGCCTCTGAGCTGTCAGCACAGAGCCCAATGAGAGGCTGGAACCCACAGACTGTGAGATCATAACCTGAGTTGAAGTCGGACGCTTAACCAACTGAGCCACCCAAATACCCTTAACGTGCTGTTAAAAAATGACCAGGCAACAAATGTTAGCTTTAAAAAATAACCACAAAAATACTGTATAATTTACGATTTTGGTCAACAAATACTAACTTAGCAACTAATATGGGTAAGACACTGTCAAGGAGCACAAAGGAGTATAGAGACAAGACCTGGTTCTTAACCCATACTCATTTATGATTTGAAAAAGATAGAAGTATTTAATTCATAAGTGGCTTCCAGAATGCCACAAGTTTGAATTACAACATCAATGCATACTGGTAAATAGCCCAGAGCAAAATCTGTGCACCGCAACATATCAGAAGAAAATGCAAACAGAAGGTTGAGCATCAGAGTGGAAGCTGAGAAGACTGTTAGACAAAAAAAAAAAAAAAAAAAAAAAAAAAAAAAAAAAAGGGCAGTTCAACATACTCCAGAAACAAAGATAGAAATCTAAGGAAATAAACAGGTCTCTGGTTACAAGGACTATGGTAAAGAAAGGTGGAGGGTGAGAGAACCTTACAATAGCCAGGAACAAACAGTTCTTCAGACATTATTCTCTGTGTTCACCAAGCAACTTTTTGGTCACTAATTCAACCGTCTAAAACCTAGGTATAGAAAACTGGGAGACTGGTGCCCTGCATAAGAGATCAGTGTTTAAACATCCATAAAGAAACCCCCAGAGGGTACATGAATGAGCTGGCACTCTTTTATACACTGCTCTCTAGTAAATTTCATTATTAGTATGAACCAGTTTCCTGGGTCACATTAATTCTAGAACACAGAAAGTTCAAGTTTCCAGATGTGAGGACAAGATCTTGAAACATGAGGTGTTCACCAAGGTAAGGACATCAAGGTCAGATTTGTCCTACTGACAGGGCAACTTTCTAATGCAGTCCCCTTTCTCCTTCATTTCAACTCGTTTTGAAATTTTAAAGACATCTGCCCGGACTACTTTAAGGCAGTGTGAGAAAGGTGCCATAAGAACATTAGTGATGTGAGCAAAGGTATGAGGTACAGAAGGAAGGATTATCACTTGCAGCTGATAGAGTCTAAGAAGGCTTCAGGAAGGAAAAGAGATTAGGGGCTCCTGGGTGGCTCAGTCGGTTGAATATCCAACTCTTGATTTCAGCTCAGGTCATGATCTTATGGTTCTTAGGATCAAGTACCTTAAGCTGGGCTCTGTGCTCACAGCGTGGAACCTGCTTAGGATTCTCTGTCCCTATCTCTCAAAATTAAGCAAATAAACATTAAAAAGAGAAAGATTACTGACTGAATAAGCCAAAAAAAAGAGTATTATGCAAATATTTGGGGGCCTGACCAACAGTCACATTCTGAGCATCTTGTCTTATTCGTATTTGCTTTCTAAAATGGAACTAAAGAGGATTAATAGCCATTCTTTACAGAATGTATAAGGCAACACCAAATATTTTTTAAAAATAAATGCTATCAAACATATCTGAAAAATAGAGACTAAGTATCTTTCAGTTAAATTTCAATAAAATGACTGTTAGAAGTTACATTGAGTGATCCATGACCAATACCTTCACAAAGCCTACACTAAATGTCATTCTGAGAATAGCTTGGGAATAGATATTCAAAGGGCCTTCACAAGGTATGAAAAATAAGCCATAATCAGAAATGTCATAAAATCTAAAACGGTGGGGGGCGCCTAGGTGGCTCAGTCGGCCAAGCATCCAACGTCAGCTCAGGTCAAGATCTCGTGGTTCAGGAGTTTGAGCCCCATGTTGGGCTCTGTGCCGACAGCTCAGAGCCTGGAGCCTCGGATTCCATGTCTCCCTCTCTCCCTGCTCCTCCCCTTTTCACGTGGTGTTCTCTTTCTCTCTCTCTCTCTCTCTCTCTCTCTCAAAAATAAATAAACATTAAAAAAATTTTTTTAATCTAAAACAATGGTTATAAATTTATTTTATTGTTAAAAATAATGTCAGGAAAATAAAAACTGGTTAATGGGAATTTCTTCCAGAAAAAACAGTATCTTTTTGTAATACCGTTTTAATGGCAACAGGGAAAAAAACATTTTCATCCTCCGAAATAAATTTGAATTAGACTTGAGACAAACCCAAAGAACTTTTTTCATCAATTTTAGAATGTCACCTGCATAGAGACAGGGAAATCTGCCTGACTTTTGTTCATTGCCATGTCACCACCACCTAGAATAGTGCCTGACATGTAACAAGACAGTCATTAAGTGTTTAATATGTGAGTAAATGCTCAACCTCTCTGTCCAATTGTCTTTCACATCGAAATCTGTATAATTAACCCAAACTAATCCAAGAGAACTCCAAGTCTTTCCCTAATCCAGGTGAAAATGTAAAAGATCTATTGTTAGGGCAAGGGGAAAGCCAGGCTCTTTGAATAAGGGCATTATTAGGTTATTATAAGTAATTTTTTAAATGCTTATGTGAGATTTTTTTTCAACTGATTCTGCAAGTGGTAAATGAAATCAAACAATGAAAAGGAAGGAAGGGAAGAAGGACAGACCAATATGTGGTTATAAACAGGTTAGCCAAGGAATTTTTCTACCTTTGATATTTACTAGTATAGGTTTTTTTTTTTTTTAACACTTAACTTTGGCAAAATAATATTTTAGCACTTTTGCCAACAGGATCAAGGGTTAAAACAATACCTGTGAAGCAAACTTTTGAAGTCCTAAATTACAATTGCTCTGATAATGTCTCTGATAAGTATTTATTATACATGTAAAGGGCTTTGTAAAAAGTATGTCAGAATTTCATCAGCTTTACAATCTGAATCTTGAAGCAAATCTAAAATACATTTTTCCATTGATGAAAATGAAGAAAATGCATCTTTCCAAGATGAAAAAGAAACTCAGACTAGCATAACATTAAATATTTCCTTTGGGTTATATAAAGTTTGATATCTTTAACACCAATTTTCTACGTTTCATTATAGTTTAGAAAATTCTTCAAATATGGCACCTTATTATAATTGGAATACAACTCCACTAAGAAAAAACAGATATAAAGGGAGGGCTGATACATATTTATTTCTAAATGTGTCATCCATGTCTGATCTAATTTGCGTAATTATAAATGGAATTAAGACATTTCCTTTTTATGAAGTTCTTTCTTTTGATTTTTAATATTTTCAGATAATTACCCTGTCTACGCTAGATAAAAGGCCACGGGGGGAGGCACCTGGGTGACTCAGTCTGTTGAGCGTCTGACTTTGGCTCAGGTCATGAGCTCTCTGTTCCTGAGTTTGAGCCCCGTGTCAGGCTCTGTGCTGACAGCTCAGAGCCTGGAGCCTGAGAATCTACATCTCCCTCTTTCTCTGCCCCTCCCCCACTGGCGTATGCACACTCTCTCTCTCTCTCTCTCTCAAATAAACACACATTAAAAAAAAAAAGGCAAATGGGGAAAGGTAGCTACCTACTTACACCTCATTCATGATTACCACACACCCTAAATTAATGGAGGCAGTGTAATTCCACCTCTTCCACAGCAGGCAGAGATTTAAAAACATTCATGGTTCCAAAGAAGAAATACCAACAATACCCTCTTTGCTGTGCCGTCTTCCAGTTTCACCCCCAAAATAAATGATAATTCACCATTCCTTCAAATAAAGGTACTTTCTGTCTGAAGGAAGGGCTCAATTTGCTACTAGAAGAAAAATACTGCCAAGTTTAATAGGTTCCTGGCTTTAAGGTCCAAATGAAAGAGAAATGAATCTACAGACATTTCTATATATAAAGTAGTCATCTATATAACTTTGTGTTATGTTTACTCAAACTAGAGTTCATAAAATATCACAAACTTTACATTAAAACTTCATTAAGCAATTCTATGAAACAAAACTAATGTCCTTCAAATACAGCTTGAAAATAGCAAAGTCACCTCTACTTGCGCTGCAAAATGTGCCTTCTCCTGGTCTTTTCGCTCCATGCACCGCTTCGCTTCCTCTAACTCAGATGCCATTGCACTGAAGTTCAGCTGCACCCTCAAATCTGACATCTGCTTCTCCAGATTCTCTTTTTCCCGCTCAACCCCTTAAAAGAGAAAATGTAAAGCTTGATGATTGTTCTTCATTCACGGGAGAATGTACTTTCAAATGGTACAAAGCCTTGACGTTCGAAAATTCCAGCTAACACAATCCACTTATTAACACTGTCACTCTACAGACTGTTCAGAATTTGCGAGTCTATTGTTTCAAGTCTCACTCAGTTTTCTAAAATGTATACGTTGATGTGTTATCCAGTATTATTCCATTGTGATACTAAAACTTGAGTTGGTATCAGGTTTCTAGTAGAACTGAGTTCAGGAAAATCCTATATATTTTTTTCTTTAACTTTCTTTACATCCCTGCCTCTAAACTCTAATACAGAAATACTGAAAGAATTTTTGGCTAAGTTCTACATCAGCTGAAGGTTACTGAAGTTGACACACAAAATGATGATTTCTTGCAAAATAAACAAATGATACTGTTAAATCTCTGATTGTGTAGGACCACTAACTAATTTACTAATTCTGGAGACTACTACCTGAAATTATCATCACTGAACAATATAAACAGACTTGGCATTAAATTCAGCACACTTGGTCTAGGACACACAAGACACTGTCGTACCATCTTCTTCAAAGATAAATACCATAAAAACCCTTTCACGATGAACTTACACTCCACGAATAGAAATAAAACATATAAATAAAGTACTTCCTGGAGTCTAAGATACCAAAAATTAGAACATCTACTACCAATTTAAAACTACTGTTTTTCCAGTAGTTTCCTTTCTGGGAAAGGGAAAGGGAAGGAAACATTAGCAAATTCAATTTATACATCATTCACAAGATACATCTGAACTGAGAGATATCAATCACACTGTTCAAAATTTCACATCTTGGATGAATGTGGATACACGAATGGAAAATATATAGGAATTTTTAATAGCATAAAAGTAATAACAGATACTATACAGATTTTACAGATACAGTTATCACACAGAAAGAAATACAGTAAAACGCTGGAATGTGAGTAACTTGTTCTGAGAGTGTTCTGCAAGATGAGCAAACATTTCTAATAAATTTTATCTCGATAAAAAATACTAGTAGTACGTGACGTCAAACATCACATGATCACAACGGAGTCAATGGTTCTCTCTCGCTTGCTGGCTCGCTCACTTGCTCACTGCAGGATTGTGGGTGATCTTCTCCCATGCTTGGATGCTCAGTATCAGGCCACAGTGTTTGGCAGAAATGAGTGATTTTTCAGAACACTGGAAGGTGCCCACAACTGGCACTAGTTTTTTGTCATTTCAAAGTCCTTATGGACAGTCCTTTGCTTTTCCACACAAGAGTAAGCTTAAGAACGCTTTGCTTCATTCTAGGTCATTGGATAGGTTCCTTGTTAAAAGTGCACAAAAGGAAAAAGATTCCATTGAGCCAATAGATAGCAGTGATTCCATTAGTGATAGGGAAAGCTGTCCTACACAGTAACCCTCCTCTCTGGTCTCCCTCACAAACCAGCCCCGAAGGTTTTCAAAGGTAAATGCAGGTTAAGTTATTTTTCTTTATATTCTGTATTTTCTGTGTTATTTTGTATTATATTACAGTATTGTAATCATTATTATATGAATATTTTTGGGTTGTGGAACAAATTATCTGAGTTTCCAATATTCCTTATGGGGAAATTCACATTGATATACAAGTGCTTTGAATTACAAGCATGTTTCTGGAATGAATTATGTTCACAAACCAAGGTTTTACATAAAGTGATTAACTCTATCTTGTTGAAAAACTGGAGTAGGAAGAATTGGAAACTAAGTTGGACTTAAAGAATGAATACAGAATTTCACCAAGCAAGGGAGCTAGGGTGATAACTCAGGGAAAGGAAGCACCATAAAGCACAGAGGTACGATAATGGATTTAATATTGAGGTGGCTGCAAACAGTACTTCCACATAGCTACCACCTATGACCAAGGGAAGGGCGAGAGTCAGCAGGGTGTTTATACATTGCTAGGGAGCTTAGAAATTATCCCATAGACCAGGAGTTCACAAACATTTTCTGTACAGGGTCAAATAGTAAATATTTTAGCCTTATGATCTCTGTCACAACTACTCAACTCTGCCATTGTATTGCAAAAGTAACCTAGACAGTGAATAAATGAATGGGAATAGCTATATTCCAAGGAAGTTTATTTACAAAAGTCTGGATTTGCCCCTTGGGCCATACTTTGCCCACCCCTGCTCGGTTTCCAATGTGAAAATATGCAATATTTGTTTATGTGTAAATGTCTTTATCAATTTTATAAATATATATTTTAAATTTTATGTTTAGATATGTATATGTGTGTATATATAACACATATCTCCAGAGTGTCTGTCTATATATAGACATGCATTTCAGGATATATGTTAGTGTATATAGATAAAGTAACAGGAATATATAGTATATAAAATATAGAGATATTAATATATATGAATACACGTGTAAATACATATATATAATATATACTTTATATTTTTTTAGTTTATTTATTATTTTGAGAGAGCAAGTGCACAGCGAGCAGGAAAGGTGCAGAGAGAGAGAATCCCAAGAAGTCTCTGCACTGCATGGGTCCAATGTGGGGCTCAACCTCATGAACTGTGAGACCATGATCTGTGTCAAAATCAAGAGTCAGATGCTCATCCAACAGAGCCACCCAGGCACTACCGTAATACATATTTCATGTAACATATATGTTTAATGTGAGACCTAATAATTTGATAAATTTCATAATCTAGACACATATAAATTGGTATGGATATGTATAGCTAGGCACACATACATAATGAAACATTTAGCAAAATTAAAATACTTAAAACATAAGGTATAAAATATAAGTAGTGCTATAAACACTCTCCTCCCAAACCCAGAAGACTGTCTCATATGCTACACTTTGAAATCACTTGCTACAGACATAATGGGTCACTACAGGAGAGCAGTTTTACAAACTCAAGTTTGGGGAGAAAAAGATTTGGGTCTGTTACTTCCCACCAATAAGACCTTAGGCAAGGTACTCAATCTCTTTCTTCGTCATTCTTTTTTTTTTTTTTTTTAATCATTAAAACGGAAAAAAGACTAGTACCCTTCTCATAGAGGAGACAATGTACAATGGGTAGCAAAGTGCCTTGTACACAGTAAAAGGTCAATAACTTAGGACAAGAGGTTTTAAGCAAGAGTAACATGAGTGGTTTGTGGCCTAGAAAGCATCCCTTTAGTAGCAGAAGTATAGAAGACAGGTTACAGAGAACTAGAACAAGTTATTAAGAGGGTAATACAAATGAGACGAAGCATGCCAAAACTGGGGTATAGTAGGAATAAAGAACAAGATGGGCCAAATATTCAAGAAATATCAGGATCTATAAATAGGGACAAAGAAGATGGAGAAGAGAAGGAATAATTTGGATGTTCTTTGTATTTTAGACTTGGCTATCTGGATAAAAGACAATGAGTGATTTCTTATGCAGAATTTTTTAAAGTAATACAAGAATTCTATAAAGATGAAAACTCTAGAACTGTTAAGAGAAGGTGAAGAAGTCTATTATACTGATGAGAGAACTTACAGATTGTTTTTAAACCTGATAAACAGTTAAGAAAATGGGAGATTCTTTTACTCCTCAAAGACTTATACCAAAAATAACTATATTTTTATAAGGCAAGGAAACATATAACATGTTCCACAGAGTCTTTTTCCAAACAAAATAAGAGTTCCTGTGTACATCCTTATGAAAATGTGATGAATAATCGAAAACCTTAGGAGTTTACTTTTAAAAATAAATTTTAAAATATTTGATGTCAAAATATATTTCAATTATAACATCACATGAAACTTAAGGGAGCTTAATGGCATGCAATTATGTTAGGATAGGTATGTCAGAATTTGCCATCTAGTGAAGATTTTCTGGCAATGTGGAAATTCTAACTTAGGCAACATACTGAGTTATGTGTGGGGAATCTGGGCAAATATTTATCTTCCCTGAATTTGATAGTACACCAAATGCTTACAAGAGTTTCTCCAATAATATGGACATTTGAGTAAGAAGCCTCATTACTGAAATAATTTACAGCTGAACAATCTGGACTAGTCTATTAGAAACCATTATAAAATTTCAATATTACCATTTCTGTTACCAGTGAACTTCCAAAAAGAAATACATCCAGACTCATTAAATTCCACAACCTAAATCAACACCACCACTAAAAAGGTATTCTAACGTTTTTCGAGCACAAAGTACTCCTAATCTACATAAGAAAAAGCCAGTCGTATGGTTCATGACCACTTCTACCAGATGATTAATTTTTGTCACTGTTATCTGGGTAACAAAAAAAGACAAAATCTTAATTTTAATTGTAAATATTTAAAATTGGAATAAAAGAAAGTGAAAACATAGGGGTATTTCCAATTAAGTACAAGGACAAGTGTATACATACACACACACACACATATACATTTAGGCATGGAAATAAGAAACTTGGAAGAAACTCCACTACCAGCTTTGCTGGTTCTTTCTGGCTGAAAGCCCCATGAGATAAGCAGGTCTGAAATGGGTTTAAAAATAAAGCAGAGGAGACATTAAATTGGATGCTAATATCAGCAACAAACAAGGGAAATTTAAAATTAAAAACATAATACCATTTACATTCACATCCAAAAAAAAAGTGAAACACTTAAATATAAATCTAACAAAATCTGTATGAGTAAAACTAAAAAATTCTGATGAAAGAAATCATAGTTGAATGAAATATATGGAGAGGTATTTCATATTCATGGATAGGAAGACTCAATATTGCCAAATAGCAGTTCTTCCCAACATAATATATAGATTCAACATAATCCAAATTAATATCATCAAGTTATTTTATAAATACAACAAACTAATCCTAAAGATATATGGAGAGGCAAAAGATCCAGAGCAGCAAATACAATATTGAAGAAGAACAAAGTTGGAAGACTAACACTATGTAACTTCAAGACTCACTATAAAGCTACAATAATCAAAACACTGTGGCAGTAGCAAAAAAAAAAATAGATCAATGGGACAGAATACAGAGCCCAGAAGCAGACCCACATGAAAACAGTCAACTGATCTTTGACAAAGAAGTAAAGTCAATACAATGCAGACAAGGTTGTTTTCAACAGAAAGTGCTGGAACAAATGGACATCCACATGCAAAAAAAAAAAAAAAAAAAAAAAAAAAAAAAAAAAAAAAAAAAAGGATCTAGACACAGACTTTACACCTTTTATAGGAATTTGAAACTGATCACAGATCCAAACATAAAACACAAAATTATAAAACGTTTAGAAGATAGGAGAAATTATGGATGACCTTGAGTTTGACGAGGACTTTTCAGAGACAAGAGCAGAGTCATCCTCCATGAAAGAAATAATTAATATGCTGGACTACATTAAAATTTAAAATTTCAGTTCTGCAAAAGACACTGTCAAAAGAATGAAAAAACTGAGAAATTATTCACAAAGACATGGTGGTCAAGGACTGTTATATAAAATAATCAAGAGAGAAGGCTCTTAAAATTCAACAAGAAGCCAAACAACCACCTAAAAACTGGGCCAAAGACCTTAACAAAAATCTCATTGAGGAAGATATAGAGGTGGAAAATATGAGTAATAAAAGATGCTTCACATCATATGTTATCAGGAAAATACAATTAAAACAAGCTACCATTACAAACCTATGAGAAGAGCCAAAATCCAGAACACGGACAACTCCAAATACTGACAAGAATGTGGAAGAACAGGAACTGTCATTCATTACCAGTGGAAATGAAGAAATGATACGGCCACTTTGGAACACAGTTGAGATGATTTCTAAAAAACTAAATACACTCTTACCATACAATCCAGCAATTATATTCTTTGGTATTTACCCAAAGTAGATGAAAACTATGTCTATACAAAAATCTATATAGAGATGTTTGGTTTACAGTGGCTTTATTCATAATTGCCACAACTTGGAAGCAACCAATGGCCTTCAGTAGGTGAACGGATAAACAAACTGTGGTACATTCAGACGATGCTTTAAAAAAAAGAAAAACAAAAACAAAACAAAAGGTGAGAGAAAGTGCTACCAAGCCAAGAAAGGACATGGAGGAAAATCTGGGGTATATTACTAAATGAAAGAAGCCAATCTGAAAGGCTGTATGATTCAACTATATCAGATTCTGGAAAAGGCAAAACTATAGGGACAGTCAAAAGATCTGTGGTTGCCAGTGCTGGGGAGAGAAGGGGATGAATAGGTGGAGCACAAAGGATTTTTAAGACAGTGACATTACTCTAGGATATAGTAATGGCACCTAAATGTCATTTATACTTTTGTCCAATCTCATAGAATACACAACACCAAGAGTGAATCCTAATGCAAGCTATAGACTTCAAGTGATAATTATGTGTCAAGGCAGGGGTATCAGTTATAACAAACATACTTCCATTGTGGGGGGGAAAGTTGATATGGGGTGGGGAGGGCAGGGAGGCTATGCATGTGTGGCAGCTGGGGGCACAGGGAAAATCTCTGTATCTTCTGCTTAATATTGCTATAAACATAAAACTAAAAAACACAGTCTGCTTTTAAAAACTAGATGCTAAATCATGATTAGCTTATTGAAAACCTGTAGATCAAGAAATAAGATGACAAGAGCGCAATGTAAGAAATGCAATTCTGAAAGTGGTAAGTATTTAAGGAAGATCAAAAACAACCCACACATTTGCAAATCACAATTGTACCTCTCCTAAACCTCCAGTCATCTCCTTGTTCATCTTGATGGTTTGATCGTTGCTTGGAAATCTGAGACACTTGATGCTGTAAACCCTTTCGATCACCTTCTGCTTTCAAAAGTTGTGTACGGAGCTCTTCTACCTAAACACGTATAGTCAAAAATGAAACTTGTATCAGTTTTCAGTGCAGGAAAAGAATAAATGAACTCACAAATTATTGTATATTATTTTTTCTAGGGAAAAAAATTACTTCTCATGGGCTTCTGTCAGCACAAACGGAAGCCCAGTTAACCTCCTTGTTATGCCAAGCACAGTGGAACAGTCTCTCGCTCCTTTTCTTTATTTCTCCTATTACTTCCACAGAGAATGAATGTCTTTTTCCCCTTCTGTGTGTCTATCGGGACAAAGAATTTGACACACACACACACACACACACACACACACACACACACACACAAAAAAAAAAAAAAAAAAAAACCAAAAATCCCTTATTGTGAACTCAGTGCACTCCACCACTATTAAGCCAAACCACCTACATAATCATTTTTATATTTTTTACTCCTTCTCTTTCATGTGAATATGGCCTATTGACCGGTAAACTCAAGTGAAAAGATCACAATTTAGCATATTATAATATCAAAGTACTGTTCAAAATAAGTGAGAAATAAATGCTGCTGAATAAACTATAAACTCATTGAGGTCAGGAACTATGTTATTCATCTGTATTTCTAAAGACTAGCAAATTGCCTAAGGCATAGCAGGTATGTCTCCAGCGACCATTAAGCAAATTAGGAGTATCAAAAAGACTCAGTTTAAGTCAATGACAACCTGAATATGGTAATCTCTTACTTCAAAAGATGAGATCAGAAATCACAAGTCAGAGTACCAAAAAAAAAAAAAAAAAAAAAAAAAAAAAAAAAAAAAAAAAAAAAAAAAATCAGAGTGTAAATGACTACAAATATAAACTAGAAAAAAAGAAAACCTGAACTCTGCCAACATTAATTCCACTGTAACACTGGCTGCAGAACAAAGTCAGTGAACATTTTTAAAGGTTTTGCAAATTAGATGTTATGATATATTTTTAGCATTAATTGTCAAAATGTAATACTCCTGAGCATCGAAGATGCCTGACATTTCTGCCTACCTAGCATACTATGTAGTCAGTTATGCAAGCCACACCTCAAAACAGAAAAAGGTACAACTGCAGTTTCTACCAAACACTGACAGGCAATTAGAAACACACATGCCCTTATCCAATGTAAGATGACTACGTCAAGTTATTGAACTTTAAATAAGCAGAAGAACCAAACTCTCATTACAGGCTTATGGGCTACAAAATGCTATGCTTTAAAATTAAGCTTTATCTTTGGTTAAAAGGGGCAGGCAGCATCTTGAAAACCATAAATATAAGACAATAATGCAAAGTAACTTGAATATGCAAAGGTCTGTTTAATGTATTTTACTTCTTCCTTCACTCTCCCAATGCCTCCTTGAATAAAATTAAACTCCTGGGAAATTTTTATCTCATGCATCCAGTCTCATTTTTACACTGGTTATGCTAGGAGAGGTAAATCCTAAATTGGAGCAGCACTCACTATCACAGTGGGAACTTGGGCCAGTGCTTTGTACTAGGTTTCTCTGACTCTTCCTGAAAGGATTTCTTCTTTTGCTTATGCGTTTTAATATACATTCCTTAGGGGGGTGGAAAAAAAAACTTCTAGATCTAGGTGGGATCTTCTACCTTTCACAGAGACATTGAATAGAAAAGGCGACTCAATCCTAATTTAATTTTTATCTTTATTTTTTAAAGTTTATTTAAATGTTTATTTATCTTGAGAGAGTAAGCACGCATGCGTGAGTGAAAAAGGGGCAGCGAGAAGGAGAGAGAGAATCTGAGCAGGCTCCTTGCTGTCAGCGCAGAGACGAAAACGGGGCTCGACATCACAAACAGTGAGAGCATGACCTGAGCCGAAATCGAGAGTCAGATGCTTAAACGACTGAACCACCAAGGGACCCCAGTCCTGATTTAATTTAAAAGCAGATTATCATAGCTTGCATAGATTTACCTGATGCAGAAGTGTTTCTCTGCTGCCTTCCGACTGATTCAATAACCTTCGAGATAGCTCCAATTCTTGTTCAAGCTAGAGTTTCAACAGAGGATAAAGAAAAATGTCCAGTGGGGCAGAAAATAACTAAATTATTATAGGCATAGTTTACGAGTAGAAAAATGGAAAAGTTTTCAGAAGATATTTACAGCTAACAGGAGAAAACATCTTGCTATCAAAACATATTGATGCTTCCAAGAAAATAATGTTATTTGCATAACAACAAAGTGAACCAGACCAGACCTCAGGGGGTCTGAGTTCTAAGTCAGCTGCATATTAACTATGACCCTCTTTTCCTTAGGTCTCCTTTCTGTCATCTCTAAAATAAGGACTTTGTATTAGACAATCTCTGAGATTCTTTCCAGTTCTAAATCACTGTAATCTAAATTCCAAAACACTTTTTTTTTCTTTAGTACATGTAATGTCATATGAACTGAATTAGAATAAAAACTTCGAGGACCCAATGACTAAAGTATATTTCATCTAAATGGTGATTTTGTGTATTCATAATATTCTAACGTTCCTAATATTTCCAATATTTGTAACATTCCTAAAACTTAAAAATATTTAGTCTCAGAATAAGATACTTAAAATTTCCTTAATATAGTCATAAGATAAATATTCAAAGAAAGTGTGCAAATACCTACAAAGTCTGAATGTGCCTAGCTTCCTACAAGCTGAAAAATCTAAGAGGATGTGAAGGGAAGAGGAATGTGCCACCCCAAATTAGGCCTCTTGGCATACGGATTTTTGGGGCTGAAGGCAATCAAGACCCAACAGACTCTGGAAAAGCTTTTACCTCTCCCTTAATTGCATGAAAGAATTTAGAGAGGGAGTCTGTACCAGGAAGAGAGCTATTCCCAGAGATAACTGTTTATACCTGAAAGACTTCTCTGTAAGACAAGGCAAACATTTGTTTACCAAACATTTGCTCTTCTCATCTTCCTATGAATTGTTTTCCTCTCCTTTGAAGCCCCAGACCTCTATCCCCTTTCCTTAGCTCAGCATGGCATATAAGCCTCAACTGCCTGTCTTTGAGGCTCTTATTTTTATGCAGCTTCTATACATACAAAATCAAATTTGTTTTTCTCCTGTTAACCTGTCTTATGTCAACTTAATTATTAAATTAGCCAAAGAACCGAGAAGAGTAAAATTACTTTTTCACACCTACAGATGGGACACGTTTGTTAAAATTCCGGAGAATACATATGTTAGACATGTTTGCATTTTGTAACAGTAAGGCTGTTCTATGAAACCACAAATTTATATTAAGGTGTTATTAAGTGCTTAGATTTGTGATAGTTATCCTAAATTATTATTTCACTTGACCAAACTACTTTCTATATATTAGTCCTTCAAATATGGTCCAGGTGGTAGGTATGGTTATCAAGGAGTAGCATAATGGGGCATTGTGTTTCTGTATCTTTGCTGTGGTGACAGCAACATGAATCTATACATGAGATACAACTGCACAGAACTACACACACAAATGAGCGCACATAAAGCTGGTGAAATCTGAATAAATTCTGTGAACTGTACCAAATCAGTTTCTTGGTTTTGATATGGAATGACAACTATGCAAAATGTTACCACTGAGGGAAACTGGGTGAAGGGCACATATTACCTCTCTGCACATTCTGTCTTGCAACACCTTATGAATCTGTAACTATTTCAAAATAATTTTTAAATCTGGTTATACAAGTTTTAAAAAAAATTATACATGTGGCCAATAAAATACCATATTCTAAAAAAAAAAAAAATAAGGTATGTATACAATCACAGAATCCACACAAAATACTATCTGACTTGTCTTCTTTTTTTGAAGAAATAAAGAGGGAAGGAATCACACTTCAGTCAAAATGGCTTCAGAATCTACCATGGCCCATACTGGTCACGACCACTGGATAATTCTGGCAGCCTCGACCCTCAAAGGGCAAGCACGATGACCTGACCTAACTCGCTTACCAGAAAGGCAGCATGGATGCATCATTTAACTTGACTAGGTTGGTGAATAAAAATCAAGGAAGCAATGGTAGATTTTAAAAGTGATATGGAGTAAGAATATTACATCGGGGGCAAATTTTCATTTTATCATTGGGCTCACCCTTGAATCTATTCATTTGCAAACTGAGGAGAGTTATCTATCTTCTAAATTCCTTTCTAATTCTAATGCCCTAGGCTCTATAGGTTTGCAGACATGAATACATGTCAAAAGTCCTTAATATCTAATGAGAATAGAGGATTCTTCCTGTAGGTTGCACCTATGCCTATCTTCTATGATGAAAATGAATATATTCAAAATACCCATCCTTTAAACAACAAGTCTTTTTCCTAACCCTTCAGCAAAGTCAAGCTCCTTGCATGTTCCAAGTTCGACTCGCCTCTAGAAAGGAAGTGGCCAGGTGAAAAGGTAGCAAATGACCTGTACGCGTTTCCCAGACCAAGCAACAGAGAATGGCAGAGCCATCAAACCAAATGATTCCATATCAGAACATAAAGGCTTCACTGTGTCTTAACAAATGATCCCAGGGACAACTTTTAAGACACTCAACAAATATCACTGGCTCCAAACAGCGTTACTTTCTCAAAATCTTACTTGACTCTTCTCAGTTTCAGTCTGTCTTAGCTTATTTTTCACGGCTCCCTCATTTTCATCTGCTTTAGCTTCTTGTTTCTTCAGTGCCTAGAATGAAAGATTAAAAAAAAAAAATGTGTATTAGTCCAAAATCCATAGAAAACTGAAAGACACTGTTAGGATCTGGAATTTACAGAAGACTATTACAGATCAGTGGAGTATGCTCATCAAAGAGCCACCAAACACTGGCTGTTCTCACAATTCTCTTGGGCTATTAGCTGTTCCCTCACATCTTGTCCACCCTCGTTGTTTACTTTCTTTGCATCTTCTGGAACTTCCCCACAGGCTTCTAAATCTCCCTCTCCAGGTTATGCAAAGCAGTTTGCCTCTCTTCCAGTTCTCAATTTCAAAAACTTAAACTCATAACCACACCCAACATCCCTACATTCCCACCCCTGTAAAGATCTATCAGTTACCAGAATTAATTCCCCTTAAAGGGCAATGTGAGAAATTATTTTCATGCTTAGGCTAAGAAATATTTAATCTTCATTTCTTATAATTAGTATAAATATTAATACTTTTACTTGATGCGAAAGAAATAGAAATCAATAAGCTGAACTTTAATTAAACAAATTGTGTTTTATAGTACATGGAATTATGCCTCATAAAAACAATTCTTCTGAAAGTCAACTTTTTAAAAATCTGAATTTCCATATATGAGATAAATGAATAAAAGAACCTCTAATTCTTTTGGCTACCTAGGAATATGCAATAAAATTTCCTTTCCTCTTCACTTTCTACCTTCCACATCTGACCAGTTAACTTGTGATATCTCTTTTCCAAATAATATACCTTTCTATTATAGCTCTACTTGGTGCCCAAAATGTTATTTAACACCCCCCTTTTTTATTTCTCCTTTTACTCTACAGATATAGAAGTCTTAGAAAATTTTAATCAGTGAGAACTTAAATACTATTGTTTTCAGTAGAGGAATAAAAGTGAGGTCTTAAGGAGAACCCAAAGCAAATTACTACGTTTCCACCACATCACCTAGAAATGTCATTAAGTTTGAACATTAGACCATCAGTCAGTAAACAAATAAACACATGTGCAATATTCTAGCCCAGACTACTGAATCTATTTTCTATATTACATAGTTTACAATGAAACACAAAGAAAGAAAATCTAACTCCTAAGACCCCATACATATATTTTAATGCACTTTAAAAGTCTGAAAACGCAAATAACACTCAAAGATAAAGATTTTTAAAACTAACTGAATCGAAAATACAAGATATTTCTTTAAACCTTAATAACAAACTTTAACTCATTTACTACCTTTTTAAGCGTATAAGGCGACACTAGATTTCCTTCCCATTGACTTAGATCAAGAAACTGAGAATTATATTAAAACTGACCCAGTAAAAGCAGTTATAAAAAGAGGAAAAAAATCACATGCCAATGAATTTCTATTATTATGTTATTTTGCTTTTTAAAGCTCATTTTTTCCTTAAAAGCAGTTTAGCTATAAAGCTATCAGGTACCCTGCTCCAGGATGCAGACTGTCTTTTACATGTTTAAGATTACAGCAACAACACTGAGCCTTAATAGTGGGTCCCTGGGGCACATTTAAATCTTTAATAACAACAATTTTTCTTCTTTTCCTTAAGTATACCTATTTCCATTAAAAAGACTAACATATTGAGTATTATATTACTGTAGTTCTTTGAAGGTAGATGATTCTGAATTCTCAGTTATTTATAAAATCGGGGTGGGGGGGGAACAGCCTTTTCTTTTAAAAAGTAAGGGAAAGGAGAAAAGGAAAATGTTTGTAGACATCTCATCTGACCATAAAAGCTCCCACAACTTTGACAACAGGCATGTTTATCAAGAGGCTCTAAAAAATAACACACTCAAAAATAAAGAACAAATAGGGAATTAAAGGCCCTTTGTCTACTGTAAAGGGACCAGTCAGCTTGGGTAAGAATGAAGAAGCTGGAATGAAATAAAGGTCCTATGATAACTCCCACACAGGCCACTGAAATGTAATTAAAAAAAAAAAAAAAAAATGATGAACATAAACTATCCGGTCTCATCCTCATCATTCAGCAGTGCTACAAGTGCATGCCTTTGGTCACAAGGGCAAGAACATGTAGATGACTCACTGGTAAACCAACCAGACTATAGAAAAACAAGTCTGTGCTCATATCAAACAACAGGTCAGTAACATCACACCTGAAAAGGTACAGACTTCCAAGTCAGATTTCTCCTCCCAGTAACAAAGAATGAAGAAGTCAAGTCACTGAGAATTAGAAAATTGTTGCTCTTACTATATATTTTTAAAGACTTTTTTTTTTCCTTGGGGGGCGGGGAGAGTTAGGTTCACAGAAAAATTGAGAGGGAAACTGAGTTCCCATATACACCAGTGTCCTCACACAGGCATAACTTCCCCCATTATCAACTTCCTTCAACAAAGTAGTGCATCGTCACAACTAATGAACCTACACTGACACATTATAATCACCCGTAATTTACATTAGGGTTCATTTTTGGTGCCATACACTCTATGGATTTAAACAAATATAGAATGACATGTATCCATCATTACAGTATTATAGTGTATTTTCACTGCCCTAAAAATCCTCTGTGCTCTACCTATTCATCCCTTACCTCCCAAATTCCGGCAACCACTGATCTCTTTACTGTCACCATGGTTTTTCTTTCCCAGAATGTCACATAGTTGGGATCATACAGTATGTAGTCTTTTCAGGCTGGCTTCTTTCACTTGATAATATGCCTTTAAAGTGTCTCTATGTCTTTTCATTGCTTTATAGCTCGTTTGGCTATGTTTTTTATAAATAAATTCTTCATGTAGGTACAAAATAAAAGTCAGCAAATATTTTAAGCTTCACAATATAATGCTATTGTGAGCCAAATAAGACCACATGAACTATAAAGTTAAAAGTTGTTTATATTTATGTATATTAAAATTTTTAAATAGCTTTAAGAACATTTGCTATATTTCAAATCAAGAAAAAAAATTACTAAGTACTTAGTATGTATAGAATACTGTAATAAACTCATGTAACTCCTTTTTTTTTTTTTTTTTTTTTTTTTTTTTTAAGATGGAGATCTGGTGTCTATTTCTAAAATTCTTGTTTGGAAACCTAAATCACAGCTCTAAAACCATCAAACATCAATAGAATAATACATATTTTGAAAAGGAATATATATGCATAATGCAGCAGGATTTTATTGCTCAGAACTAGTACTACTCACTTAAATTAACAGAGCTTTTATTTCTGTCAAGTTCTGTGAATTTCTAAATTTTGTTTTTTCCTAAATCAAGTTAGAGATTCCTCCCACATGAGAACTAGCTCAAGTCATGGAAAATTTTAGCCTTTAAGTTCATCCAGTTGGGGATTATCTGTGCCAACAAAAACCAAGCAAAACAAAAAAAATTAACTTTCTTTTTAAGGCAGAAAACAATGCATTCATATTCTAAATCCCTGAACCAATATCTAACTTAAAAATAGCCAGATAGATTTTACTTAAATTGTTCAAAGAA